TCATCCTCCTGTGAATGCATGTCTCCAGGCCCATTCGTGGTGTGTAGAGTGCATTGAATCCTTTACCAGCGGACTTACTAATCTTCTCTCCCAGGCAGTGAGAATGCCTTGCCCCACTTGAACCACAAGCGGATTCTGGATTCTCCCGCTTGGAGTTAATGGATGTAACCTGGCAGCAACCAATCTATATGTCTTCTGTAAATGATCCTCCAAGGGTTAACCTGTAGCAGTGCTGTCATGCTCCCAGGAATAATCACAAGGTTTGTGTCCATTTCTCTAAGTCTTTACTCTGTGGTGTTCCACTGAACACATTAGGTGAGAGCTTTGTTGAGGAGGCTTGGGCTGCCTATTCCAGACACAACAAACCCAGTTTTTCAATAGTGTAGGTGTTCTTCACCATTTCCCTTGCCACCCACAAAATGATGTGTGATGGCTGTTTTCCTGCATGTGCTGCGACCGCGTCCCTCACAGTGACTGGGCAGTGGAGTGAGGGTGGGTTTGCTTTGCTGCCTGGTGTTCTGACCACTGACAACTCTTGTGTCTTTAATTTGCACGGTAATATTTGATAGTGTGTGTAAAGGAATGAAAAAGAGTGTTGTAGTGCTTGCTGTACAAGCTCATTTTTGGTGTAAAATTCTGGTTCCCCGGTTCCCCCACTGTTTGTTTTCCTGAAGCTCAGCTCGATGTCGCATTGTTGATAAAAGCTTACTGCTTGGAATTGCTCTTTGCGCTATATAGATGTGAATTAATTCTTAATTCTTTCCTAACACCCCCTGTGTGAAGGTCTTTTTATATTCTGCCGTTGAATGATCTCATAAACTACTTGCGTTATCAGAAAACTGCATGGTCGATTCCCAAAGTAACAATCTGAAAGTCTTTTCCTTGTTCACTGGCGGGCGTTTTTCTACCTGCTCTTTGTTGTTTGGCTTTATTTCCCTCTTTATAATGACCAATTCAGACTTGGATTGCAAATGTGTTGTGCTCTGGTGTAGCACGTATAGAAGTGTGGCACGTGGGGTGATATCAGAGGCAGAGCATGCACTGAACGGCGGTGAAACCCCTCTGCCTTCCTTGGTTCAAGGAATTGCCCAGCAGAAGGGTTGTTTCTGTGTATTTGCATGCAAATTTGATAACCCCCTGGTGGATGTTTCTCCCTTATATGTGGAATTCATTTTAGTACTGAGTGATACTCCTGGCCTGCACAATAATTTCTGTTGTGCAGTTATATGCAGTTCAAGGAAGTAGAACCTTTTGTTGATTTCAAGCCTGCTGCTTGCTTTCCTTTGATGCTTCCTCTGCCTCCTGCTGTGAAAATGGTGACAGATTGTTTCCTGCTGTTGTACCCCATTGCTGATGGCTGTGGAGATCCCATCCTGCTCCTTGCATTCTGCAGCCGCCTGTTCATCGCCACCACTGCTGGCTTTCTTTGTTTTGATCTATGTCATTCTAATTCTGCTATCTTCTCTTTGTGAGTGCATGGTCAGAGCTGCAGGTGCTATTCAAGAGCATTAAACAAAAAAATGTCCGGTAGACCTACATGGCATTGCCTTCTGCTGCAAGTGTGCAGAAGGAGCCTCATGCAGAATGTGGAGCCAGGCTGGAGGAGCTGGAACAGCCGAAGTCCATCACCTGATGCACTGCAATTGCAATGGCTTTCCCAAAGTGCTGGCCATGTGCAATGGCAGGTTTCTGTGGAGGCTTGAGAGGATAACAGGGAAATGAAGTAACTGGTCTCCCCTATATTAGTGAACAAGTCTTTGCAGTGCTTTATTGAAAACAGAGAAGGAAGTTTGTTTTCCAGAATCAGATACATCCTGGCTTTGACATTGGATTAAATCACATTTCTTTCTAGAAGGAAATCAAATCCCTAACAAGGATTTCTGGGTGTTCAGTAATACCACAAAAAGAACAAGCATTCTCTTCAAATGAATGATTTTGTTTCTCCTATTAACTGTGTGGTAAAATCTCTGGAATTGTCATAAGTGGCTCAGGGACTGTTTTATATTCAGTAGATAAGGATGAGTTCGGCTTTCCTCCAAATCTTTGTCACAGTAAGGGATTTTTGCTTAGAAATTCACAAAGATCAAATCGTACATTTTCCCAGCCCCTGGGATGCTTTGTATTCTGGTTTGTTCCCACCATACGTGGCTTAAATGCTTTTTAATTTTTCCTTTCTCTATCTGGAGAAGACTGCCAGCCATGTTTGCTTTAGCTGCTTTCAAGTTCCATTTAGATAATAATGCCTTAGTTTTTCCATGGTGCTTCACAAAATAAATAAAAAAATAAAAATAAAAAACAAGTAAAAATCCTAAAGGGATTCAAAATCCTAATGCTATTCAAACCCATAACAGACTTCCCAGTAAACTGGCTCGCCTCAGATTTCATGACTTTCCACCTGCACTGACCACCCAGAGTCCATGGTGCTGAGTGCTCGACCACCTGACAGACTGTTTGCTTTTTGAGGGAAATGTAATAAACCCCCTCCCAGGGACCTGCTACTGGAGGTGCTGCTGGCCAGGAGCAGGTAGAGCTGAAGCCATCTGTTAGGCTCTGTAGGATGTGCTACAGAGAACTTTGCAGTTGTATGGAGAGGAGTTAAAAGAGAAAAGCAGTTTAAGTTCTAAAACTTGTCACTATGTACATACAGACATGTATCACACAGCTCAGAGATGCACATTCCTGCTGGACTGCCTAATGGGCAGATCACTGCAGGAGCAGCAGGGTGCTGAGGGGCAGATGCGGATTTGTGCTGCTGCCTGGTAGGTGGGGCATTGGGGTGGCTGCACTGCAGGGCTCTGATGGCTGCATTACTGCGGGACGTGGCAGCTGTTCTAGGGAAGAGGCAGCAGACATAAATGGAGCAAATGGGTTTTTAATGGGCTATTAGCAATAGTGCAATTGAATTACACAAATAGACGTGTGAAATATGTGTTTTTGACAGGGCTATCTAAAAATGAGGTGCTGCTCAGCTGTATTCCAAACAAACACTGCATCTCCAGACCCAGTCAGTAGCAGCTGAGGAATTCCTCCTATAGCCCTGTTCAGCCAGGATGAGCTGTCTTCATTAATTGTCAGTAATTTGGCCTTCATACACATTTGGTGTTAGCCTTTCCTTTGAAAGTGCCTGTCTGTTTTAACCTTCATGTTAAATAGCACTGCCACTGCCATATCTCACAGAACCACCAATAGCCAGGTGGCAGTGGTAGTGACCACCTCAGGATTTCATCTCTCCAAAAGGCCATGGATTTTCTTTAATGTTTTGCAGATTTTTTTTTTTTTAATCCCCTGGAATTCATATAGTTTAAGGATTACTACAGAAAAATAAAGTTTTGGCCATTCTAGTTCAGCTCTCATTCAAGTTAGATCTTTGCTCTCACTGTCAAATGTGCATTTCCAAGTCCTGCTCATGCAGTTTTGACTTTAAAACCTTTCTTGCTGTTCCTCTGCTGTCTGGTTTTAGCAGGGTCATTTTGAACCACACCAAGCAATACTGAGGGACTTCAGCTGCCCGCTGAAGTTGAAAGCTTAGTTGGAGGCTGCTTATGGAATACGTGCAGTAGAAGAAAAAAAAACCAAAAAACTAAACCTTGTTACAGCCAGTGCAGCTTTAGTATAAGAAAGAAAAACAAGCACAACATGAGGCCAGTAATAAAGCAGGGTGCTGAAAAAGGGTCAGGCTTACAAAGAATTAGTTTTCCTGGCTTCAAAACATAGCCAGTACCGAGGCTCTCATTGCAAGGCATTGCAGTCCAGTGAAGATGCGTTTCAAAGGCTGCAGTGTTCTTCTGAATTATTTGACAACCATGACAGGTGTTTCAATATATAGTGCAGATGAGCTGAAAGAAGATGCGTTTTAGTTTGACTTGTTTTTGTTAAGACATTGCTATAAAGACATGTCCTTTCTTGAACCTGTCTTCAAAGTAGATAACTTTCTTTTTGCACGTTAATTTTCTATGAGCATTTGTACCCAGTCCTTTATTAATCTTGTCACCTGAAAAAGGCCATGTGGCATTTTTACTGCTCAGATGACAGGTGTTATCCCTCTCTTTGTGACTCCAGAAGAACAAGCACAGTATGTTTGTACCAATCTGGTATTCCCCACAGTGCATCAGTTACTTTCTTAAGTAGCTCTGTCCTGTAGTATGCAGCTTTATTAACTTGTCTGCCCTTCAGACAGCAGGACATACATACACATATTGATCTTTAGGTCTCACTTGTCTTGGTTTGAAATTGTGGAGATTATAAAGACTTCATAGATTCTCTGTACATGACATTTTTGCACAACACAAAAGTAAGATTGTAATATATGGAAATCACACTGGAAGTTTGGGTCAGAGGCAGAGCATTATTTCTCAGAATCTAGTGATTTTCTTCTGCAAAGTCATCCTTGTGAAGGTTTACTTCACAATTTTCAAGTGGTAATGAATTTCAGATACTTTTTAATTACCTCAGCACCATGATGGAATGCCAAATTGACCATATAGAATATATAGTATATATATAGTATATATAGTATATATATATATATATATATATAGACCAATAAGTATATAGACTTCATTTTAGTCAGCTCCTTTTTCTTGAGGTGTTCAACTTTGTGCAAATAATTTAATTTCTTTATATTCCCCTTGTTTGTGAAACTAAAGCCAGGTAAATTTAATGATAGGTTAATTGTAGCAGCTCCTCTTCTCTGAAATGGCTTATGGACTGATCCTTCAGGCAGTGGTGGGCTGATCTGAGGACAGTTTTGTTATTTGTAGCTACATGTGAGCCACAGTAGGATGAGATTCAAGTGCTGCAGCTGATTTAGCAGGAGCTAAAAGGGGAAATTACTACAAGGCCTAATTTACTGCTGCTGATTTTCTGTACTCTGCTGGGACATGCATGAATTCTGTATAATGAAAGCATTGGCATTATTCTACCTAAAATATAAAAAAGAATTATTCTATCTAGTATAGAGCAAAGATTAATAATACCTTACTGCCATGAATTGTCTTTAGATTAAAGAAAAAGTCCCAGTCGGTGGATATTAGTGGGCCAGGATGCAACCCAGTGGCAGCTGAAGCTCCTGCTCCTCAGCCCAGTAAACCTTTGGTTGGCCCCAAAACGACTTCTGAGGAGGAACAGAAAAACACCGCCAATACCCAAAAGCGCAATCCACGGAGGAGTGAATTGAAGAGATATTACACCATTGGTGAGTTTTCATTCACAGAAAAATTCAAATATACTCATTAAAATTGCAAGATATTCCTGTTGACTTGTGTTTTATTTCTTTCAGTTAGTTGCACTTGTCTGTTAAGATTACAGATGCCCACCATGAGCAATGAGATGTCATGTCTTCATGCTGGTGTCAAATTACCCTTAAGAATTAAATGCTTTATTTATCCTGTGCTGTTTATAAGAATTCTTTCTTCAGTGTTCTTTTCCTGAAGAACAATTATTGAGGAAAGCATAGAAGCAATTTGGGGAGGAAGGATACAGGAAGGCTGTTACTGCTTTTGACAACTGTTTGTGTTAGAATTTAGGCAGAAATGATTTAGAAGGCTCCTGGTTGGAAAGAATTTCCAGTTTGAAAAACACATGGTGAGCTTGAACTGTTTCTAGGCCATGCAGCCAGGATTAATCAGGCAGGTTATGGATACCTTTTTCTGAATAATTTTGGTTTCTGGATATTCTTCTGAGATTTCAGTATCTGAAACATCACCTTAGGTTTAACATCACCTTAGTTATCCCTGCAAGTGTTTTCACATAAATCCTTTCAGGACTGGCCTGACCGATTCCTTTGGTAATATTTAGCTTCTCACTTGATTTAAACTGCATGGAGAGTGGCCTTGCAGTGCTTGTGCCTGGTTCATTAATGCTTCTGAGAGGCAGATGTGCTAACGAGAGTTGGACAGACAAAAGGAGTGGATGTTAATGATGCGTTTTAAAGAGCTGCAACTCAGCAGATTAAAGAAAAAGAAGTTAGATTTCTTGGCTGTTGAATTATTGCAGTATAAAATTAGGCTGTTTGTACACCTTTAAATTGTCTAAAAAGTAAAGAAGAATGTATTGCCTTAAACATTTTTTCATTTGTTACATCCGAATGCTTGAAATTGTTTTTAAAGAAGAAAACTGCATTTAAAATGTGTTGCACAACTGCCTTCCAAAAACTCGTATAAGTTTCAATTATTTGCTCCCAAAATAAATTAAGAAAAGGCAAAATCAAGGCACTGATGGGTTTATAGTATTGTGACCATGAGATTCCAAAATTATACTTCAAAAATCTCAAATTGTATAATCCTTCTTTAAAGAAGACTTTATCCCACCATGTGTGAGAAAAGCACCCTAAAATTTAATCCTTTATCCTTTAGTATAGGATATGTTTTCTGAGAAAGCTTAATTCAATCAGTGCACTTGACTGAATTTTTACTTGAGATGTACGAAGAAACATGGCTCTGTGATTGTTTATTACTCATTCCTCCAAATAATCTGAAAGGAATATTAAAAGTATGCCAAGATTGTTTCATCCCTAAATCAGGAAATGGGATGAGGGAGATTTTTGCTTGAGTAATAATGATAACCGTGTTATCAGAATGAGTTCTTAACCTAACTCAGGATTAATAACATTATTGGAAAGTTGATCATAATTAAATGTCCTTCTGTCATAAACTAAATCAGAGCATATGAATGACAGCGCTGATGGGAACGTCGTGCAACACTTCATTTGACAGACTTATGGAAATGTTTGTTGGAACAGACCTCTGAGGGTTAGGTACTCTGATTTCCTGTTGGAAGTAGAACTTCAGTCACTACTGGATCAGGAACAACCCATGCTCTGTCTTGTCCTGAAAATCTCCAGGGATGAATACTCCATAGCCTTTATGCATACCTTGTTACAATGCTGGAACATGAAGCATGTCCACAAGCAGCATTCAACAGGCAACTTGTCCATAAAGAGGTGCTAACATTTGTGAGCAGCAGTTGTAGACCATTGGGAAATATAAAATGTACTTTTCAGGAAAGACAGACCAGCAAGGCAAGGTGGTGGAGTTGCTCTCTATGTGAGAGAACCACTGGGATATGTCAAGCCCTGCCTAGGAATGAACAGTGAATGAGTGGAGAGTTTATGGGTGAGAATTAAGAAGCAGGCCAATATGGGTGATGCTACTGTGGGTGTTTACTATAGGCTGTCTGATCAGGAGGAGGAAGTTGTTGAGTTCCTATACCTACAGACAGCTGAAAGTAGCCACAATATTGTGTGCACTGGTTCTTGTGGGAGGAACCACCATCTCCTGGAAAGACAACACTGCCTGGCACACTGCCAGTTCAGAAGGCTCTTACAGTGCATGTAAGATAACTTTTTGATGTAGGTGGTGATAGCCAACAAGGAGAGGTGTGCTGCTGGACCTTGTTCTTACAAACAAGGAAGGACTGGTTTAGAGTATGAAGGATAGGGACAGCCTTGGATAATGATGATCTCCAGAGGTCCTTTTCAATTCTTGCGATTCTGCTATTCTATGAAAAGGAACAGAACATAGAAAGGGGCTAAGCTTATATGTTTTGCTTAAATAACATCATTTGAGTAGCAGGCGAGGTGTTCTAGCTGGACTGACCCATTATGAGAGATGTATTGGTTTTATCTTGTTATTGTCTTCTATATGAGATTTGGGGTCACAGAGAATGAGTCGATAGAACCATTGTTACTTCATACTGCATAATGTTTGGATTTTCCTGGCAGGCTGATTGAAGAAACATGGTTTCCTCTGTACCTTCATAAACATATAATTACACATGTTCCTGCATGTTGTAAAAATGAAAGATTTCCTCTTGGGCAGCACAATACCGATATCAGATGAATATGTTTACTGTTCTGGATGAGTTTTTCTGATACTAACTTCACAGATTTTATTATGTGATAGAAATGAAGCTTACTTTTCTGAGGCTTCCATCAACTTCACTGTAGTTTAGGTTATGACCTGCATGGCCCATTTGACTTAAAAGTACTTAGTTTTCTTTGACTTTTCTCAAAAATCAATTATAATAAACAAAGTCTAGTCGAATAGCTTGCAACTTTTTGATGATAAATGTAATGACAAGCATGGAGTGGATAGGGACTCTGAAACAGGAAATATGAAATTCTAATGTTTCGAGTACAGTTGGCTATTAAATATCTTAAACACACACTTTAGAAGTGTTGGTGACCTAGTACAATTACACAGGGCTTTACCTTGCTTTGACCTTGTTTGCATTTTGTTCTCTAATGAGAGCAATCTGTGTCCAAGATCAAACAACATGAACTAGTAATTACTGTGATGAGTGGATTAAGAACGTGTTGAAATTCTAATGATCTCCTCTGGCTTTGCCTCTTTCATTCAAAAATTAGTGTTCTTTATGTTAAGCTCAAACCCAACTGGCAAACGACTGTTTATGATGATGACTAATTGACCTTGAGTAAAATAATGCTTGTTGTATGTTGTTTTACACTCTCATTTTTCATTAAGTTTGTTTGCAGTAATTACAATGATCTTCAGAGTGCTTTACAGATATAGGATAATCTGGATATTAAACTTTAGGATCCTTATTTAAACATGTATGTATATACAGGTTTTATGTTTTAAAGTTTAAATTAGCAGCATCACATTGCCTATTATAACAGGGCCAGTCTGATTTATTAATGGCTGCCAATTGTATTCAATACTAAATTTATATGTAAAGAAATGTGTAACCAGTCTTACTTTACCAAGTTATGGAATGAGTAAAATCAACATTATTTAAGAAAATAATTTTTTGGATCTGCCTGTGCAGAAAGGACTTATGAGGTCTTTATGTAAACCTTACACTACTTTACAGACCCAAAGACATGTGGACATTTACCTTGCACACTCATGCTTTGCAGAAGGTATTGTAGCAGCTCATGTATGCTCTCAGCTCTGTGAGCTGTCAGGTCATGTTCCTAAATTCTCTGTACCATTAGAGTTGGATTTTGTTTTCTTTGTATTTCTTTTTGTGCGTGTTTATGTCACTTTATGCAAACACTTATTTCCTTTGCATCTCTCGAAGTGAATGTGCATTGAGGAAGGAATATCCTGGCAATTCAGAGAGATTTTAAAAATTTTATCAGCATCGTTCCTACTTTAGAGAGCTAATCATAAACTACTGACTCTGCGTTTCATCTTTCCCACAGGCTGCATCTCAAGCACTTCCCAAACTTAGTGCAGTTGCACTTCTAAAAAGTGGGGAAAAAATAGGTAAGAGAAGGAGGGACTGAGAGGAAAAGGCAACAGGGAACAAGTTTCACTTTATCTGAGCACACAACAGAAAATGGAGAGTCAGTGAGGGGGAGAAATAACTCTTCCATATGGCAGGCTCAGCAGGCAGAAAGGGTCCTGCTGCTTCACTGCTGAACTGGTGTGAAGAAATTGAGTGGGAACTCCTAGATTAATAGGGTAAGTGTGGGAAAAACAGTCTGCATGGTGGGCTGAATAAAGTTTCTCAGAGAACTCTAGAAACATCACCCAAGACACTTAAAAATAAAAACCTAAAATTAGACTTTTTAGATGCCTCAGGCACTTAAAAATTCAGGCCACTTATTTCTGAAGTGCTTATTGATGAGCATCTCCTCCGAAAGAGGAAGAGAAGATATCTGGGTCTTGAGGACTCCAAGAAGTGGGCTGGAATATTATACAGAGGAGTGTTTTGTGGGTAGCAGTAAGACTGTACCAGCCTAGTGCTCCATCCAGACTACAGCTAGCTCTTCCGTGCTGGTTTGCAGTTAGTATGGGTGCAACATCACAGCTGTGTTGATTGTAGGACTCTACTGGAGGTCTCCTCATGATGTGTTGCCTCAGGATGTCTGTTTAACAACTTATTAAGGTTATTTATGTATCTAATGTTATTATACTGTAGAGATATACACTTGTGCATTCCCATTTAGCCATGGAAGTTGTGGTGCATAGTGTTGTCTGTTTAGTAACTCTGGTCTTGGAGATGTAAAAAGGCCTGCTTTTATTTCTTTTGGCTATTAAAATAAAATGGCAGGACTGGTAGAGAGTAAATGTTTAAAAATACAGTGGTTGCATAAAAATATTTTCCTGATACCAGGAATGGGCAAAAGAAACAGTGAAGCAAAACAGTAGTTGGGTTTGGGGGGAGCATTTTTTTTTTCAGAATATTCTAATATCTTATAAAAGCTTTAATGCAAACGTTGATAAA